ATGTGCGTTATACCTACTATATTAGTACGTTTGCACACTGAAATCCATTTGGTGGCTCCTATCCCACAATCGTAGGAATGAAAATTTAAGAACCTTTCCTTAAAATTTTGAATGAATTCCGCGAAACTCTCATCCATAGATTGAATATTTTGTAGCATGCAGCAAACATGATCAACATCGCGTATAGAGTATTACGAAAATCATCTGGATTATCGACGTTCAAGACAACATCCATAAATTGTAAAAATGTAAAGTTGTACATGATGTTAATTACTAATAATGTATAGGCGTCATATAACGCATGTTTAATCAGCGAAGTCCACGAGAACGGTCGCCAGCATCCAGCGATTGTGAGAATTGCGAATGAATTTTAGCCAGTTCATATCCTCTAAATAAAATATATCTTTTATATATATATACATATATCTGAAAATACGTAGAAAATGCTTCTATTTTTAAAAAATTTTTATAATTGCATTAACCTGATATGTACATATGATCAACCATGTAATTTGTGTTATAACATTTTGAAGTGCTCTTCGTATGTCCCTTTAGTATTTGTGTTGCGTGTTGTTGTCGTCAATCACGAATTAGCTGAGGAGATTAGATATGGATTAGATATGGATTTTTAAAGCGTCTATAGCTTTTTACGATATTTTTACTGAATTTTCCCCTCGAATATGTAACATTGTAACAGCAAACTTACACTGATGTTTTCTGTGAATTGATGTTTTCATTCTTATACCTATATAAAATAATATAATATATATATAGTTATTGACAATAGTTCAGATATATGAAATTTGGACATTGTTGTACTCGTCCATTATAAAATATTTTATTCATTGTCGCTGTCTGCGACAACTTTAGTTTTCCTTAGTTTGACATTCCCTGCGTCTTTTTTTCAGTATCTGTATGTATTTTTTATTAAGTATAAACACGGAAAGCAAAATAGCCTCAATTTATTCATTTCTGCAACGTAAACATATTGAATAATATTACATAGATAGAGATAATAAACAAAGTAATTTATTTCTCATTTCGATAAGATTTCTTAACTTTACAATGTATATCTTTTTTTAAATAAGTTTAGTACGAGAATTCTGTAGAAAAAATACAATCAAATTTCAATCGAATGATGACGGTATTTACTGATAACTTTAAAATTTCCATATAGATATCGTCTATAGACAATGTTTTTTTCCGCTTATCGATTCCTATTCAATATTCATTAATATCATGTAAAAACGCATTTACTAACAGAATTTTTTTATTTTTATTTCAGGTTGAGTTCTTAGGGAAAATCTTTTTGTCTTATGCGCTGTAATGAGCCAACATAATAAGCTATTATTTTCATGAAAAACGAAATATTGAGATTAATGCTGGGTTCCGCTCATAGATTGCCATTGATAATATCTGTCTCCATTTATCTCCAATTTTAATGAAGGTAAATGTTACCTATCTAAATGTTCTTTTAGTTTTTCTATTGTTATCTTAAAATTTTGACCAAAAGTCACAAATATATTAAACTTTTTTATAAATTTTGTTTATTTTAATATTTTACTTTTTAACCATAAGATAAAGAATTATATAATTTATATCAGATTTAAATATAGGTTCTTCTAGCAAGATAAAGTTTCCGTCTATAACAGACGGAAGAGAACATAAAAATCATATACGTATGCATATACGTATAATTAATATGACAATGAAGTTATGTATGTACATATGTATTCTTATAAATATATTTATTCACGGTTTCGTTAATATAGAAAAATCTTGTATTTAAATCTGACATAAGTTATATTACATAGTTAAAAAATAAAATTATCTCAAAACAAAAGTTACATTCGAATTTAATAGTTTAAGTTATTTTTTTAATATGATTAACTTTTTAATATGATTAATGTAGCAACGCTTTTGAAACTCAACAAGACGATAAAATTTTTATGACTAAGTCGATATATTTATTGAATATTTAACATTATCATACAAATTCAAATAATTCAAATAATTAGTAAAATCGTTAGGATCATTAACATTTATTACAAAGGCCATTATTTGCGTAATAGTATATAACCTCATATTAACTAGTACTAATTATGTATAATGTGTAAATATTAATCTGTAAATATAAATTATCAGTTTGAACAAAGATGTCTCAATGATTGCAGTTGAAAACAGCCAGCGATCATAAAAATTGTACACGTCATTTTCATAATGTGCATAATAGATCAGAAGAAATATTAATATCTTCTTAATTATTGGGGAAATTTACAAAAGGTAGAGAATTTTTCGACTCAGTTTAGTCCGTTTTACCTGCCCATGAAATATTTGGCGATTATTTCCAGACACTCTATACACAAACACACACACACACACACACACAGGTGAGCGAAGTAGCCGTACAACTAGACCGCCACATCCTATCCACCTTTCTTGAAAACGATTGGTTAAATGGCGTATGACATTAACAAAGAAATGGAACACCATCGTGCATGAATCACATTCGTTGTCTATGTTGTAAAGGAATATTTCCCAAAAGTTCGAATAAATTATTTTCGAGAAAATTAAGATACACTTATCCTATTAGTCTATTAGGCAAAATGTAAGGTCCGATTAGATGTTTCTCCAAAAATATCTGCCTAAACGTTCACAGAAAAACGATGCTGATGTCGTGATGCTATGATAGCATGAGGATTTTCATCTCCCCAAACATGTATGTTATGAACGATATTGATTTCATCCCTGATGAAAGATGCCTCATCAGTAAACAAAATATTGCACAAAAATTGTGGATCTTGATTGCATCGATGAAGAAGCCATGGACAAAAGTGATTCATTGTTGCAAATCAATTGATAGAAGAGCCTAAATGTGCTGGACATGATAGGGGCAAAAGTTAATCATGCAATATGTTCCACACAGTGTGATGGCTTGATCTTTTTTGCAAGGCGATTCTTCGACAAGATGTTCCATTTTCTTCAATTGTGCGTAAAATATTTTTTTCGAATGCCAGAGTTCTAACAAGTCGCGGTCTATCGCAACTAAATTTGAACTGTCCGATCTCACGTAAGCGTTGAATTTTGCTAAATATTCTTCTACTTGGCTGTCGGCAATTCGGATAAGCTGCATAATAGCGTGCTGATTTTGAAGCATTGCCTTTTGTTTTGTCATACATAAAATGAATATCCGTCATTTCAGAATTTGTGTAAAAATTAGCTATTTTTCAGATAACACAAAACACAGTCCACAATCCAAAGTTGAATAAAACAATCCCTGCATAATTAAGTGGTTATATACGGGTGTGCATGAATAAACTGAAACTTGGAAACTGTTGTCAACGAAATAAATCTGGAATCTTTGACCTTCAATGACGAAACATGCCGAATTGTGTATTGATATGAACCTGAAATACATTGAACATTTATTGTAGATTAATTTATTTTCTATTTTTCACAGAAGAAAATGCTTTAGAAATAAAAGATTTTCATTAAGATTTTTTGGTTTGTTTTAACTACATACTCCTAAAATTTGATACCACCTTTTGGGAACACCCTGTATACATACATTTATACAATGTGCCTTAATGATGAACTAATAAATATAGAACATTTTAATAATTTTAACTGTTCTCAAAATGATTTTATTTTGAAAAAAATCATTATTACGTTAAAAGATATAAAATATAATTTCAAAGTGTATTATAATATCTATAAACATACGATACAATTCTTTGAGACGACATTTTTCGCTGACGATATTTTCTATCCTTTCTTCTACACATTTAATATCTAAATCTTTTTAATATCTAAATCTTTGAAATAAAGTTTTAATATCTCTCTCTGTTAAGAATAATATCAAACGTGCAATGAATGTCTATAAAATAATATATATATATATAATAATAATATAATATATTTAAGGTAGTTAATAAGATTACGTCTGTGATCAATTTTTATTGCAAAAAATGTACTTCTTTTATTTCTATATCTAGAGAGTGAGTAAATTTATAATACAGTAGAAAAGAGATAACGTTTAAAACATTCATCAATATGAGATATCTCTGACTAATCTTCATAATGTCTTGATGTATGCTATTTATCGATACACAAAACATATTCTTTATTATCTTTCACGTTTAGAATTTGACATATCACAGAGTATTGATTTATACTCAACATAATCAAGTAATAGAGTAACATTCACAGAATTCATTTATAAAATTACATATCGTCAAACAAAAAATTAATCTTTTTAATAATAAATAAATTTCTATGACGTCACATTTTTTGTATTTGCAATAATTAAACAATAATTAAACAATAATATGATAATTAAACAATAATATAATGTGTAATGTTGGAAAATAACATTATATATTCTAAATTCTCCAGTATATAAAATCCTGTATATAAAAATATTAAAACAATATTATTCAGAAATAACTATTTCATATTTTGTTACATATTTTTAATATATTCTAATATTAAATGCAAAATGTTTAAAAAGAAACATTTTGTCGTTATCAATTGCTAGAATATTATTTTTTCAGTTTTATCTTATTTAAAACAACAATTATTTACACCTCTTTACAGTAAAAAATATTTAACATTTATTATTAATTAGAAGACATCTAGTACTAATGTATTAATGCATTATTATGGAAATGAATAAATCACGCATTAATAATTAATATTTACAACTTTTAACTTGCCTTTATACTGTTATTCCTGTATTTGCGATAGCAAATTATAAGCAGAATATGATGTTTTAAGCAACTACAATAATTATAAATATATTTAAATTTTAAAATCTTTGAGAAAAATAATTCAAAATTTATATTTTAAATTATTGATTCTTGTTCATGATTATTATAATCTTACATATAATATCCATATAGTATAAAATACTGTTTTAAAAATATTACTTTAAAAAGAGTTTTATCACTAGATAAAAAAGACAGAAATTTTATTATAATGACTAGGTGATCCAATTTTGAATAAATTAAAGTATGTAGTTAGAAACTTCTTTTTTCTTTTACTTAATTAATGACTAAAGAAAAGAGCGAAAGATAAAATAAGAGATTGAATGAAAGCAAGAATGAGAGAGTGAATTAGATGAGAGTCATTGAAAGATTGAATAAGCATAAAAAAATCTGTACTTCATAATACGCTACGAAATTTAATTTTTATGTTATACTTTATACTCACCGTTACAAAAGAATCTAAATTCATGTTAAAAATGTATGCACTGTTAAATTCAATAGGTTTCATTGCGCGAATCATAATTATCAAAAGACTTTTTCTAGTTTTATGGTCCAATGCTATCCATTCTATTTCGAAAATACTATCGACCAGTTGAAGACTCTATACATTTATAACATGTTTTAATATATTACATGTTTTACTTCTAAGCTCTTTATAGAAAAGCATGCGATAATTAATATATGTACACATATAGTACACATGTTTATGCACATATGTATGTGTACACAATAATTTCAAATTCGATAATTAGTATGCATACCATGAGTTTCAGTTTATTTCCAAACCAGCAATAGATGAAAATTTGTACAAGTACGCACAACGTATATGCAAAAAACGCAATAAAATCTACAATTAATTCAGTTCTAGTTAATTGATACAAATTTGAGCAGACTACGAATGTACTTGCTACGAATTGAAACGCAATTATCCTCCTGAATCTCTCGTTAGTCGCGTTTGCGAATCTGTAAAGGAAATGTTTTTATCCTAAGCATTAAATCTCTTGAAAAAATTAGAGTTATACAAAAAATAGCAGTTACATAATAAATTTAATATTAATAGCCAAATAAAAAATAAAATAAAAAAATATTTATTAAAATATTCTTTATAATAATAAACCTAATATTGCAATTCAAAAACAAAATATGAATATAACGCATAACTATACAAATATAATAATAAGTAAAATAAATAGAAATA